AGTATATTAAGATACAAGTGTATAATCAAGTCTTTAAAGCACGCGCAACGAGTTTAAGGGCACGACGCAAAGCGGAGTGCCTTTAACGTTGCAAGTGCTTTAAAGACTAATTATACACGTGTATCTTATAGTATTTTTTATTATACCTGCAGTATAATTTAAAAATAGGAAATACAATGAAGTCATATTGACGTTATACTCGAATACATGTCTAATTAAGTGGGCTGGGTGTTCGTAATTTCACGATTGCCATGGAAATGTCACTTGACGTTTGCTTATAAAAATCGTCGTCTTTGTGAATAAAACGATTTCCGTTGAAAAAGATAATACACCGCCCATTAAATCGATTGTTGTAAAATCTAAACAAACGTTGGTAGGTGTAAAATCCAACTCCAGTAAAGCCTATTATAAAGTGGATGAATAGGAAGTTACTTACGAATACAGTCTTAAATGCATCCATAATGCTGGCATATATGAAGGAAATGTCAAAGGTATTTAAATCTTCTATATTTTGGTGCATTCATTCAAAACTTTAAAGAAATGCTGCGATTAAAAAGTGGAACCGATTTGGAAGCATGCCCTAAATTACGCGCGTTTGTGAAAGGCTTCAACCAAAGGATAGATACAAAAGCCAAAGAAATGTTCTGCATTTACAGAAAGCGACCTAAGAGGAGTTTTTATTTCATCTAGATGACAGTTTCAAAAGTCATACTTGAAGTATCGTTACTTAGCAACTTTAAAGCACGTGTGTTTTAAAGGCCCTTTTTCGCACGCATTTGAGTGTTTAAAACAGAGATTGTGATTCAGGTATAATAAAAAAGTTTTTTGTCACAATATGCTCTAATGCGTGCTTGATCGAGTCGAAAAGAGCAAAAACTATTCATATTTTGATTGCAAATGTATATCCGTCAAGGCCTAATGTAATTATAGTTTCTCATTATTTATACTTCACCGATTAGCAACTTCGTAGTAATTACTTGCTTTTGTATTCAGACCTTACGGATGGATATTATACAGGGTGGCTCACTGAAAACGAAACAGAGCCATAACTTTGCAAAAAATGCCACTAAAGCATAGGTAATCTCTTCCTGGTTGGTGGTTACATTTCTTCCTTGAAGGTATAGAGATTTTTACGTTACTTGCGTCATATAAATGCCACATCCATTGCTTCCCGAAAAAGTGTACTAATCCACTCCAGAAATCACCGCGACAACTAATTCATAGTTCTAGTACCGAACAATTGACAATAAATATTACAATCTTTAGAAAATCCCCCCCTCCCCCCCTTCCACTTATAATTAATGAAACGGAAAGTAAGTAAAAGCTTACCTTGCAATTAAATGAAGCGGTAGAAATTATAGTGCGAGAAAAAGCAAAAGCTCTCTTATCAACTTGATAACGGCGTTGCAGTTTTAAGGCTCGTTGTAATTTACCGTAGGAAACAAAAAACCTGCTAATAATGGGTGAAATGAGCTGAAATTCTAAAATATTAATTTGCTCTTGAGGTATATCCAGGGCAATGTGCTCTTATTGGGTCAACCTTAATATGGTAAAATCAAAATTTGAAAATGTTCGCTCGCTTGAGATATTGGGGAAAATCAAAGAAATGTCTAATTCAAAATTACTCTTTGGGTTCTTAGTTAAAAAAGATACAGAAAAAACTTATTACAACAGTTTCTATATAATGATTATTGAATAATTTGCGGGTGTCAATAAAGTTATCGGATTTAACCTCACTTTTTAAATGGAATACGCTGTAGATTGTAATTTAAAAATATATATTAAATTCTCTTTTCAAAAATGTTAAAAAAAATGTTCAAATGATTCAAAAATATACAAAATCATGCTATGTTGCTGGTTTTCTTTTTTGAAATACAATGGACCGGATATACCATACAGTAAATGCAGCAATGAAGAAGCGAAAGATATCACTCCTAAATGATTTTTTGCATGCATCGTGTTATATGCTTTTTTACACCAAGAGGAGAAAGCGTTAAAAAAAAGTGTGAAAAGGTGGGTCAAACAATCAATGTAGGGTGTGTGAAGAGAGAACGCGTTAAGGAAGTAGACGTTTTGAAGGGAGTGTGAAATGCAATAGAAACCCGAAAGAAGTCTCAAGTGGAAGATCTAACAAAAGTTGTGAAGAAAACAGATGTGAATGGAGGAGAAGGCTAAGGAGTCAGTGGGAAAGGGATAAACAAAGGAGGCATAAAGTTAGCTCGTATGAAAGAGGCATAAAGAATCCCGTGATGGGGGCGAGGGGTTTTTGATTTACAACTGAAAAAAATTTATTGTTAACAATATACAGTGTCCCAGGAGGTTTTTTCTTTGAATTCAGAATGTACCTACGTATCCTAATTTCCCGAACTCACTATACAATATCTTATATTCAATGTATTTTCCGCGGATACCCGTACACAGCGATTCGCATTTTCGAACTTGATTTTTCGTTAAACTATCCGCATCAAAATTTTACTTTTGTACACGCGTAACAATTGAAGGTCGCTCACCGCTCAATGACTCAACGAAAAATATCAATGTCACCCAAAATGGCGTTTTATTAATGAAAACGGCCATTTTTAATCATTTGCTCATTTGATCTGCTTAAATCCGCGAATTACGTTAGCGCTAGGGTCATTCATCATCATCCCACGCTTTTTTGCGTTTCCAATCCTCCATTTGCCAGGAAAATGATCTCATGCTACGCAAATCAGTACCTACTTCTGATCACGTACACCTCTACTCTAAATGCAGACTTCCGAAACTCATTAACAGGTCACGACGTAGGTATATGGAAAGTAAATGGCACCAAATACTATAGATAGCCAATTTGACCAAGAACTGTCGGACTTCTAAAAATTGAGATTTACTATAAGACGATGGTTGAATTAGGGTAAAGTTATAGTACGTACCGCATTGAGTATCATTTTTATTACGAATACAACGATATACGGCACAGAAAAAAAACAAAAGTTGGACACTGTTGGTTTCAACAGGATGGTGCACTCGCCCACAACTGTCTAATCGTGCGGTAGTACTTTCCCATCGGACATATTTTCCATTTTTCAGGAAATTTGGCTGATAGGTGTTCTTATGCATGATTTGGGGATTTTGGTACGCGGATGCGCCATTTTGTTGAAACCCTGGTTGAAACCAACAGTCTCCAACATTTGTTTTTTTTTATGTGCCGTATGTACATTGTTATATTTGTAATAAAAAATAGAATACTTTTTTACGGGCCATATAAAAAAATAAATGTGATGATGATTTCTCAGAAACGAAACGTTGTAATGAAAATTTCTGAAACAAAATCGGACAATTTCGGTTTTTCTGGAAGTAATCGGATTTTTTTGGTTTCATTTAGCTTGATAATTAGTCTTTAATTGCGCAACTTTTCCCTAAATAATCGGATCACCTTCGTATCTTCTATAGTTTTTGAGAACCCTATAATAGACATCCTTACCTACTTTGGACACAGTGTCGACCTATGTCTAATAAAAAAGAACAAACCTTATTTCAATATATTGTATTTATTATTTTATATAAATTCGCATAACGGTTGTTTAATCTCCATATTATTCCTTTCAATCAAAACAAAATCAAAACGCAATGTATTACCTTCAGTTAATATAAACATTCCTGATTATAATTAAATCATAATTCTAAATATGCTCAAGAATCGCTCAGCAGTTTTGCGTTACAAAGTAGCATCAAATTTAAATCTCCCTGCGGCTACCAGAGAACATATTAATTATGTTGCTGTAACTTGCCTGCTTCTTTCCGGGATCATTTTACCGCTTAATTCTTCTTATTCAATAATTGAACGTAGATATGATTTAGAGAGCATTTACGCCGTATAGAAAATTAAACAATTATTCAGCTAATTGAATTAGTTGTATAAATTATTTAAATTCCTCAAAATGCTCACGCTATATACATCTTTCGCCGTAACAAACTTATCCGTTAGTAATTAATAATAATAATAATAATAATACTTCTTTATTTCTTACTATATACAAATGAAGTCTTTTCAATGCATAAGAAGAAATACGTCCTAATGTATTACATTTACCTACTATTCTAAAAATTCGTTAATCGAATAGGGTTCCATGTTTATTAAAAACTGTTTTAGTCTTCTTTTAAATTCGTTAATATCCCTAATCAGTTTAATACTTTCTGGGAGATGGTTAAAGAATTTCATTGAATTGTAGTAGGTGCCCCTTCTAAACAATGACAGGTGGTATTCAGGTATTCCATAATTTATTTTATTATTATTATTTCTCGTAAGGTACTGATGGTTTAGGGAATTAGTTCTAAAGTATTGAGAATTTTTAAATAGAAATATTATACATTCATAGATGTATAATCCGTATATGGTTAAGAGCTTGTTGTGCTTAAAGATGTTTCTGCAGCTTTGTCTATTATTTAGCTTGAAGGTTACTCTAATGGCCGTCTTTTGTATTTTAAATAGTCGCTGCATTTGTGAGGAGCCTCCCCAAATGATTATACCATATTTAAGTATTGATACAAAATTTGAGTGGTATATGCGTAACCTATCTTGTATCTCAAGCAGCTGTGCCATGATGCGGAGACTGTAACAGGCAGCATTTAGTTTCGGGCGTATCATACTGAAATGCTCCGAAAAATCAATTATCAATTATCAATTAATTGTGTAAGTTATTATCAAAAGTGCCTTGTCTATGTAAGTCTATATACATTTACATAATAAAGTTTTAACGTCAATCCAAAGCTTCTCATAATTATTTATAGGATTACGAAATTTTGAGACGAATCAGATAAACCGCGTCTGAAATGGTCAACGTTAATAACCATTTACTATTTGAAGGGTATTGATATGGCAGGCCGGTTTTGTAACTACGTACATGCACAATTGCGAAAATCTTTCGAACTCTCTATAGTTATACGGCCGCTTTTCCAAATTAATTACAAGATTTTAATTATTAAGTAGACGTGTCCTAATGCGTGATTTTTGTTTTCAGAGTAATGGAAGATGCCACACCGTCGCCTAACCCTGGAAACCCGTACACAAACTGTCTTTCTCCCTCGAGCTCCACGTCGCCCTTGCTATCCCAACAGTACCCAATGCACATGACCCCACGCTACGATTACGACGCCGAACTAATACCCGCAACCCAAGTGCTACCCCAAGTCCTTCCCAAAACTCAGGAGATGTGGGACATGAGCCAAAACATCTACGCGGACTATCGCGCGTACGACAACACGCGTTTCCAAAGTGATTACATAAGGCCCAGTTACGCGGATACGATGCCGGTCTTCGCACAGACGCGCAACACGAGTTTCGTTCCTAAAATCGGCGGACAATCGCAAAAAGTTCCTAAAGAAGCTCGAATAAGAAGACCCATGAACGCGTTCATGGTATGGGCAAAGGTGGAGAGGAAAAAGTTGGCCGACGAAAATCCCGACCTTCATAACGCTGACCTCAGTAAAATGTTGGGTAAGTGCTTTTTTAAATTTTTGAACAATTTTGTATTTCATCATGTCTCTGAATATTAATCAGATTTACTTACTTAAAATGTTAAATCTCATTAGCAATTAATTACTTTTTTTATCCACTTAGCCCTGAACAAAGTTCTTGAAAACCTTTCCAGGTATTTTTAGGTAATTGAATTAACTAGATTTATTTTAGATGGTAATTTTGTTTTCTTCCACAAAGTGTAGCTTATCTTTCTTCGAAAAGCTCTATTGCTAATTCACTTCTTAATATTCCATTGTACCAGGTAGAAGAAAACGGATCGCAAACTAGGCCATTGCAGTTCTGAAAACCAATACCTAAGTCATAGCACCCATGCGTGCTGTTTTATGTCAATTCGTAGATAACATTGTGGAATTGTGTCAGATTCCTGTAAAACACTTTGTTATCTTTGCTTTATAAAGCAAACCTTTATGAAAAGCAAATTTATTAAGAAATATTCTGACCAATACAGTGGAAATAGGGTACAAAGTAGCTCTTACGTTAACGTTAACATTCGTAGCGTAAAAATTGAAATTCGTTCCAATAACAGTTTCACATTGTATAATTGGTACTTATGGTTTCTAAACAAAAGGTTATATACACGAGGAAACAATAGCAAGTATAAAAAACGAGTAAAATAAATATCTCCAAAATAAGTGGAAGCTCAAAATTGTCCCGAAAGCCATGTCTCCCGTGGGATTCAGCTATACCAAAGATTAAATGTGGACAAGCGTAAATTTTCAGAATGTAAGGTTTGCACTCTTTACTTTGTAAAAAATTTATACAGGGTACTTCTCAAATGTATACATAATGGGCTCTGTATACTTTTAAGAAACCATGTTAATGCACGGAATAGCTGGTTAATAATACGGTGTTGGCGTGTGAAAACAAATGTCCATTTACGAAATGGAAAGTTTTATGTTTCGACTATTACGGAAATACGTCTTCTTAAATAAATGTATTGCAGCGTTGCTATTTTTCGACGAAGAATTTTGGCAATGGATTTCCTTTTTTGCATTCATTTGTATAATTCACTAGCCCTTAACTATAGGACCAACCCGCTTTTAAAATGACCAATTCTACCGCTAATTGTTGCATATAAACCCAAATATTTGCACGCTTTTTTTTATTTGTCCACTGTCAGAGAGCGAATACTACTAATCTTTTTCCCCGCGCGTTCACTTCGGTACAATGTACAATGCAATGACGCTTATCTAATTATGAATATTACTTCGCTAATCACATAAATTCTACACTCACTACATGAAAAATACCCATTAACGATACACTGTTATAGAAGGTAACAAGACATTAATTTTTTGATAAATGTTAGCCCATTACATAGACATCCTAAAGACAGAACCCCAATGGATTTAAAGGCTCTAAAAGTCATGAATAACTTTAATGTGTCTTGAAGGTTGAAAGCTGAAGACAAAATGGCAGAAGAGAGGATGGGAAAGCATTTGGAGACTCATTAATCATAAAAGCTTTAAAGAGCTAGTAAAAGATTTTACGTGCACTTAAACCAAAGGCTCTGAAGTCTCTGCATGGTTAACCTAAATTATGTTAAAGGCTCTAGTATACTTTGGAAGGTTTTAGAAGGCAGGTGAAAATTTTTATGAGCTCTTAAATGCGTTTAAATGTTACTAAACCCTTTTACGGGTTGAAAAAAAATCCTGACACAGATCTCTCACTTATAATTTTATATGATGCAACAGTAGTTGCATTTTCAATTTGGGAATGAGATTCTTTATTTCAAACTCCATCTGAACTTCACTGTTATAGGTGTCAAATGCAACTTTAAATTACTTTCTAATTCGATACAATGGGTTATCTTTTTGTATTCGGATACCTCGGTTATCTTTTATTTTCTTCGCTTCAAGCAAAAAAAAAAGGATAAGGAAAATAAAACAATAATATTTATTTATTCATTAATAAAACGGTTCTTATTTTCTTGATTACCCCGGTGGAAGAAAAATAAAATTAAGGAAATAAAGAAAAATCACTCGACATGAATGTTGCGGTTATTGTCAATGGGCTATTTATCTATACATCTAACACAGTTTCCAGTAGCCGCGTAGTTACTGATTACAAATACAATATTCTATAACATTAGTTCATTCTTTAATGACTTTTTGCACTAGTAAGTATATACAGTGCGAGAAGTCTGAAACTATCATATCATAATAAATTTTTTATTAAACGTTTTTAAAAAAATCTTCGAATACGTCAATTTTTGTTTTAAATGAGACATATTTTAGTGCAATTGTCACTTCAGGATTTGAGATATGACGTAAGCGATAATTTTTTTAAACGGAAACCCTTTTTTGGATGCTGAATTTGGAAAGAGCGTGATGACCAAATATGCTAAAAAAGTATGATACTGTATTTTGAAATATTCGAGATAATTACTTTTAAATTAAGTAGTTCTTTTTCAGTCAAATATCGCGCCACTTATAATTACGTAAAAACCACACAGTAAAAACAGATAAACACGCTGATTAAGACCTGATCATTTTAACGGCAATTGTTACATGGCTATTTGATTTGATTTATTTATTTATTTATTATTTATTAATTTATTAATTAATTTATTTATTTATTTAGCATAAGTATTTCGTCTTAGAGTTTCATGCTCTGCAAATTCAGCATAAAAATAAAGTTTCCAGTATAAATTAAAAAAATTTACAAATTTCGCAATCCGTGCATCCATCGGAAACATTGGACATAATAACCGTATGACGCCATATGTAAAACACAAATAAGCCTTCACCCGGGATTACTTGCTCCCTAGCTTGCTCCACTCGCTCGCAAGCTCACTCGTGTCGCAAACGTACACTTTTTCTGACTAATAAGCCTCATCACAACATGCTCGTATTAAAGGAGATGTGCGAGAATTTTAGATTGGAATTAACAAATCAATTGTAAGTACCGTATCGACAGTATCCTCGACTTGTCTTTAATATACCGATTGCGGCCGAGTACAGTACAATCAACACTTGACGCGACACCATTGCCTTCTTTTCTGCTTGACGAAACTTCATACCCATCCACAAAACAAAAATTATCGTTTAACTATAACTCTCGCCAGGAAAGATTGCCGGTCACAGCACACCTTGTGTCGATCTACAATCTATGTTTTTCTTAAGATGCGAGCGACTTCCGGAATAGGATCGTGCCGTTGTTGAACGAAAAGTCTTTTTGTTCAACAATGACACGATACTTTCGTGAAATCTTTCCTGGCGAAAGGTTTACGTCATATCTCAAAAACAAAAAACTATCCTTAAGTGACAATAACAGTAAAACTGAAATTCCAAATCACACATTATTAGTTTGCACTATTCGACCTCCTTTCGCTGACAGTCTCCCTCTCTACCTCAACTGCTCCTGCAGTATTAGCATTGGAAATGCTTATGTTTTGTATATGGGGATGAAGTTACCAGTTTCGTCAAGCAGAAAAGAAGACAGTGGTGTCGCATCAAGTGTTGATTATACCGTACTCGGCCGCAATCCGTAGATTAAAGAAAAGTCGTGGATACTGTCGATACGGTATTTATATTTAATAGTGCAATTGTTTTATTAATTCTAATCTAAAATTCTGGCACATCTCCTTTAACAGGATTACGAGCATGTTGTGATGAGGCTTATTATTCAGAAAAAGTGTACGTGATTCCGGGTGAATAAGGCTTATTTGTGTTTTACATATGGCGTTATACGGTTATCATCTTCAATGTTTCCGAGGGTTGCATGGATTGCGAAATCTGTAAATTTTCACTTTTTGCTTTTTGCATTCGGTAACTGACATAGAGCCCAAAAAAAATCTGGACTTATCTGACAACATGAATCACGATAAGAAACATATCACAACCGTTGGATGCATGTTTAGTCAAGAGTGAGTCACTATTTTATAATAAACTTGTAACAAATATAGCAACCGAGCTCCTGGATCACTGAACATTTAATCAGTTCTTCCTTGGGTGATGATAAATAAAATACTGAAAACAGAATGGGAAAATTCGAAACCGTTCCGGAGTTATCTTATCGACAGACGGACGGACGGACGAACCGAAAGTCCAAAATCATGAACTTGCTAGGAGCTCGTTAATATCAATGACGTTCCTTTAAAATTTGCACTCACCAAAATCAAGATTTTGTTATGTTACTATAATAGAAAACCGAAAATCGCCCCCAGTTAATTTTTCTTGACAGGAAATCTAAAATAGCGGCACTAGTAGGTACTAGGTATGTATAGTCCTAAAACTATTGCGTCCAAGAGAAGTAGGTAGATTTCCCATTTAATATTGTGTTGTAGAAAAATAAACTATAATGGATTCGATTGTATAATTGAAAGAGAATGCCGTATAGAACCATGCGCCACGTCCGAAGCGTTTTTTAGCAGTCCGTGACAAAAAATGACTGGCGCATATATGCGTTATACCCACGCACTTTGTATGCGTGAAGCGTCATTTTACACAGAGAAACAGTTATGCGGCACTTGGAAATGCAAATCGATCTCGCATTTTACAAATTGCAAGACGAAGAAAATCCTAATTGCGTAATATACGGTGGATGCCAAGGCATTTATATTTATAAATAAAATATACCTATAAGAGAGGAGCGCGTGAGATATTTTGTTTGAAAGCTATCAGTAAGTAAAGGTTGAGTTTGTTTTGTCGGAGCAGAGTAAATTACCGCCCATTACATACCATTAATGTCCATATAATTTTCACTTGGAAAGTGCCGCGTGTCTCTAGAGTTAAAAAACAATGCAGCAATTACATGTATTAAGACTAAAATAGTTAAAACAAGCATTAAAGGTATTCGCATTCTGCATACCTACATATTACGCTATGTAGATTAAACTCTATTGCAAATGCAAATGAGGTATAGGAACATATCCCGAGTGTAGGTAGGATATATAGCGGACGGTCCAGTTGAAGGGTTTGGCTCAAAACAGATTTTAGGAGTGGTCTCTAGGTGTGCCCTGTCAATCATCGAGGTCAATAGGTTACTTTGTCTGCTCTTCTTTTGGCTTTTATACATCAGGCTAATAATAATTATATGAATCTTATCATCTTTATAGATAATGAGATGGTACACATAGAAAATGTGTACAAGGTCATGTAAACAGTTTTATGTTAAACTGCCGTAACCAATTGTTGCTAAACTAAAGCATATTACGTGATCACAACTTTTTTACTCCCCATATGCATTGTGCCTACTTTTAAAATCACACATCTCTATACCTATATAGTTGCCATAACTTTGCGTTGTCACACTTGGCTTCTGTTTTAAATAAAAACGCGCAATACACACCTAGAGATTGGTTCGACATTAACAAGAGTTTAATTAGAAGATGCGGACATTGCGTCACATCAAATTAATAATAAAAAAGTAAAAATAGTTATTACGCTCGGTTGATCAAGGTTTCTCTTCTTTATACTTTCAAAATGTTTCTACCTATTCGTGTTAGATTTCCACACGAGCGTCTAATCTGTGGTTCCCCACATCAGTATACCGCATCA